AATTGGACCCCACCCGACACCTGGCTGTGCCTAGAAATTCTGTCCATAAAGATAATGAACAGAACCGGTGACAAAGGGCAGCCCCAGTCCAACATGCATCTGGAACAGGTCCTACTTACTACCGGCAATGCGAACCAAGCTCCTACTCCGATGGTACAGGAACCAGACACCTTAGAAGAGGGCCCCCGACCCCATACTCTCAGAGCACCCCCCACAGAATACCACGAGGGACACGATCGAAAGCCTTTCCCAAGTCCACAAAACACATGTGGACCGGTTGGGCAAACTTCCATGAACCCTCAAGCACCCTGTGGAGGGTATAGAGCTGGTCCAGTGTTCCACGACCAGGAAGAAAACCGCATAGTTCCTCTTGAATCCGAGGTTCGACTATCGGCCGGATTTTCCTCTCCAGTACCCTGGAATTGACTTTTCCCGGGAGGCTGAGGAGTGTGATCCCCCGATAGTTGGAACACACCCTGCGGTCCCCTTTTTTGAAAAGAGGCACCACCACCCCGGTCTGCCAGTCCAGAGGTACTGTCCGCGAGCAACTCCAGAGTAGAAGAGAGTCCAGCCTCTCTCAAGGAGTTGGGTCCCAGAGTCCAAACTGTGCGTGGAGGTGAGCCCGACTATATCTAGTCAGTATCGCTCAACCTCCCACACGAGCTCAGGCTCTTTTCCCCCCAGCGAGGTGACATTCTATGTCCCCATAGCCAGAGTGGTTGTCTAGGGATTGGGCCGTCGTGGTCCCCACCAATAAACGCCACCCAAATCACAAGGCACCGGCCCCTAGTGGGCCTTCCTGCGGGTGGTGGGCCCACTGGAAAGCGGACTCACGTTGCTTGTTCGTGCTGAGCCCAGCCAGGTCCCGTGAGCAAGGACCCGGCCACCAGGCCCTTGCCTGCGAGCCCCAACCCCGGGCCTGGCTCCAGAGTGGGGCCCGGTGACGTCAATCCGGGCGATGTGAAACCCTTTGATGTTATTCTTTTCTTCATTGTGGGGGTTTGAACTGCTATTTGTCTGATCCGTTGCCTAGGAGCTGTTTGCCTTGGGAGACCCTGCCAAGGGCATTAAGCCCCCGACAACATAGCTCCTAGGTTCATTCGGATACTCGAACCCCTCCACCACGTTATGGTTGCGGTTCAAGGAGGGGCAATAATTGTATTATTTGTTATAATAATTCCAGATTGATCATGTTGTAAACACATCATAAAAAGGGTGGTGACTTCCTCTGCGTGAAAGGAGCATATACAAAAGAACACATCTAGCTGACTATCATCAAAAACAGGCCCTGGAAAAGAAATACATGAGTGGCAGCATGATCAGGGATCACCATGCAGTCTGTTCTGGAGGATGAAACTGTCACAAAGCCAATGGTAAAAGGGACTTTAGATACGAACGTCTCACTGGAAGCTGATGGAACAACTGACTGCTGCGTTATTAGTATTAGCAAAAGTACTACACAAGTAAGGTATGGAAAGTTAGGTGCTCATTGTTGGACGTGCGTGTCTGTATAGTTCCTCCTTTGTCAATATGATGATGCCATAAATAACTTTACTCGACTTTGACTTTATTATCCAATTAGTCGACATGTCGTCAAGTCGTCAACACCCTAATGGAAGTACGTAAGCTTTAGGTTATCCACATCAGCAGTGTCTGTACTTACAATCATCATAAGCACCATGGGGCCCAAGTAGATGATGAAGAAAAAGAAGGAGATCATGGCCAGGGTGAGGATGCCTCGTACCCACCAGTTCTTCCATCTGAAGAAAGGACACAAACAAACAACATACTGTGTAAAGCTTGTTACAGCCTTAAAATAAACTTGTTTTTTCTGTTCAAATGACAAATAGCAGTCTGTTCTGTGATAAGGAATTCCTGTGTATGAATCATTACTCCTTCACATGTGAAGGATTCCTGAGGCCAGAGCATAAGAAACTCTCTGTAGATGATTTAGCTGCTCTATTTAGAGCACGTAGTGGTGAACATACAGTACATCCATCTTTAACTGTTTCTTCTGTTAAGAGTCTTAGGGGAAACTGGAGCCAATCATACTTTATATCTTCACATCAAAAAAAGGCAGGGTATAATTTAGGGCCTCTAATCTTTTTATTTGCAGTCTGCATGTCTTTGGAACATAGGAGACAAATGACAACCCACAGAAACACAGGAAAAGCATACAAGGTCCACACACTCAGCCAAGCTTATGTTATAACTGGCAACTTTGCTATAAGACCTTTTTATAGCATCCTTCCTGACAGCTACCATTAACTAATGTGTGTGTCATTGTACCTTGAGGAGAGTCCAGACAGGGCCTTGTTTAGAACCTCTGGTGTATCATCAGGAGGGACAGGGACATCTGGGACACCAGAGTCCACCTTAGCTTCGTTGTCTGAAACGCCATCTTTGTCTGCCTTCAACTCATTGTCTGAACCCTGGTAAAGAGACAGATGAAGGGGAAATGAAAAACACAGTCAGCATGATTAACTGTAGAACTAAAAGGACCAACAATGGCCTGACTTCACAAAGTAAATAGTTTCAGCAAAAAAACACACAAATTTACATTCTGACATTACTTGTATGTAAATTAAATAATTCTGTGTATTCTGAATAGTTGTAGTTATGCTGACCCTGCAGAATATATGTTATGAACATATGTTAATATATGAAGTATGTTAGTTTGGTGCAGGACATGTATGAGAGTAGTACAACAGTAGTGAGGTGTGCTGTTGGAAGGACATAAGACTTCAAGGTGGAGGTGGGACTACATCAAGGATCAGCCCTGAGCCCCTTCTTGTTTGCTGTGGTGATGGACAGATTGACAGATGAGGTCAGACAGGAGTCCCCATGGACTATGTTGTTTGCAGATGACATTGTGATCTGTAGTGAGAGTAGGCAGCAGCTAGAAGAGAACCTAGAGAGGTGGAGGTTTGCACTAGAAAGAAGAGGAATGAAGGTCAGTCGCAGCAAGACAGAGTACATGTGTGTAAACGAAAGGCAGAACAGTGAAATAGTGAGGCTACAAGGAGCAGAGGTGGTGAAGGTGCAGGAGTTTAGGTACTTAGGATCAACTGTTCAGAGCAGCGGAGACTGTGGAAGAGAGGTGAAGAATAGAGTACAGGCAGGATGGAACAGCTGGAGAAAAGTGTCAGGAGTGATCTGTGACAGAAGAGTGTCAGCTAAGATGAAGGGAAAGGATTACAGGACGGTGGTGAGCCCAGCCATGATGTATGGTTTAGAGACAGTAGCAATAGGCAGAAGACAGGAGGAGGAGCTGGAGGTGGCAGAGTTAAAGATGCTAAGATTCTCTCTAGGAGTGACAAGAATGGACAGGATCAGGAATGAGGTCATT